TGCTTCCAGGCATCTTGGTGGGGAGACATAGAGTGGGGATGATGGTAGATAAAGTGTGTGCAGATATTGCTCTTTGAAACTTGCAGACAGTGATACAGAAACTCATCTATTCCACAAACAGTTTCATCATCTTGGGACTTTCATTTGTGGCATATGTTATACTAAAGGTTGCAAAAATCATTGTAGGCATAGAACAGTGAACAGCTGAGTTTCGGCGGGGTTAGGGGGAGAATGAGAGTGACTTCAGGAAGGTGGTGCTGTTTGAATGTGATTTTGAAGGATAGGTAGATTTGTGATTTGTCTTGAAGCATCAGCCTTTAACATTAAAGAAGATGCATCATGAGGGAGGCTGTTGAAAATCCAAAGAGAGCATGTAGTGGGCTAAGACGGGAGGAGGAGGCACTGTGGTCCAGAAACCATTCTGGAAAGGAATCACCTCTTACAGTGGTGAGTTAAATGTAAGAGGAGATGGGATAACCAGTGTCTAGATCAGGTAATTGGGTGAACCCTGATCTCACTAAGCGAGATTGGAAATAAAAGAACGGAATCCATTTTTTCATTATATAGAAACTGGAGGAAGGTAGGAAATGCCAGTTTCTCTTTGGACTGTTGCTTTTGATACCCATGAGCATCCAGACTTATTATTCTCAGCATCTGAAGCACCTCCTTTTGGTTCTATAGAATTTAGATGATGATGCTATGTGTAAACCTGCAGGTTCCATATCGCTTTCCTTCTTCATTTGAAAAATAAAGGTTTCATTTGTAACGTGGTCACAAGTGGTTGAAATGTAAAATTTTATTTGAGTCACTTTTCAATGAAAGAAAGATGTTTTATTGCTGTTCTGTAAATTGTGAAATAACAGACTTCACTCAGACGATTGTAACAAAAAATTATTGGTCTGTCTCTTTGTTTGACTTCCTGGTAGGTAGATGGTCTCTGTGAATCAGTAGTGGCTCAGGGTTTGGCTCAGCCTGTTGCTGCCAATTCTCTTCCACCAGCCTACTGACTTAAATGAAATATGCCCAGGTCATTTAATTACAGTTTGCTGAATTGTGTCATGATGGCCCCTAGGAGACTAAATATAAACCTACGGGAACTGAGCATTCATTTCAAAAGGAATGTAGAAAAACTCTCCTGTGCCAATATTTACAAGGATATTCTACAAAGATTGACTGGCCCTAATGTGGCTTCCATGTTCTTGTGTTCTTTCTACCCTAATCTATCATAGATTTCAACTTTGGTTTTGATTTATCTTCCCATTCACGTATTGCTTGTCTTTTATTTTGATTTTCTGGTTTGACTTGGGGTAAAAATGGAAAGTAAAGGGGGCTGGGGATATAGCTCAGTGGTGCAAGCGCCTGCCTGGCATGCGCAAGGTCATGAGTTTGATCCCTGGTACTGCAAAAAAAAAAAAAAGAAAAAGAAAAGTAAAGCCAACAAACTAATGAAGGCAGGGTCTTCCAGGTTTTCACACTTTCTTTGGGATCATCAAATCCGTTTACATGTTCAAAAACTCACTTTATCAAAATCAAATTGCCAGGCCTGCTTTATACTTGCCAAACTCAAAAAATGTGCCAATACACCAGGGTGACAATATGTTTTTTTTAATTTTCCACTGCATTGTTGAGTAACTTTATCTCTGCTGATTACTGTGTTACTTTTTCAAAAAAGAGAGTGTACTTAGAACACAAGATAAGAGTCAGATATAATTTGGCAGCTCTAGAGTTGAAATACAGGGAACTGAATGACTTCAAGGGACAGCATCATCACGTTGGCCACGAATTAGAGATTATTGGGCCTCTTTCAGTATTGGGACATTCTTGTTTGCAGTTCAAAGTACCCTCATCTCAAGTAGCTGGAGGAAACAAAACTATAAAGTATTTACTATCTAATTTTTTTCAGTGTCCCTTACCCATTGTTATCACTTGATTGGACTAGATTATCACTAAAATTCCTGGTGGATCTGAATTTATATGTAGTGCTTAAAAGTCCCTGTCCAGTGAGGTATAGTGGTGCACACCGGTAATCTCAGCATTCTGGGAAGCTGATACAGGAGGATCGAAAGATTGAGCCCAGCCTGGGCAACTTAACAACTTAGTAAGATCCTGTCTCAAAATAAGAAATGGGGGAGAGGGCTCTCTACATGGACATTAGACATTGGACACATTTCTATAGTGACTGGGTTGTTATCTTCCCCATTGATGTTTAGGAAGTCAACCTGGGGCTCTCTCGTGGACTTTTAGTGACTTACTTTTCTATTGTTGTCATAGCAAATTACCACAAATCTAATGACTTAAAACAGCATTCACTTATTATTTTGCAGTTCTATAGATGAGAAGTCTGGGCATAGTGTGACTCAATTTTATTTCTCTGTTTAGAGTTCACAAAGATAAAGTCAAAGTGTTACAAGGGTTACCTTACCTCCTGGAGGCTTCTCCTTTCAAGATCTTTCATGTCGTTGGCTGAGTTTGGTTGTTTGCCACTGCAGACCATGTTGCCCATTTCCTTCCTTTCCAGGAGCCAGCTTTTGCTCTGAGGCTGTCTGCATTGCCCTCCATGCTTTCTGTGTGATGCTTGAAGGAAGGAAGGAAGGAGCAAGTTCCTCTCAGATTTCTAATCTTACTGACTTCCCTCTGCGCCCATCTCACCAACAAACTTTCTCTTCTGCTCTTATAGGTAAATGATTACATTGGCTCATCCACATAATCCAGGATCATCTTTTCATTATAAATTAGCTGATTAGTCACCTTAATTGTATCTGCAAAGTCCTTTTACAGCAGTGCCTACATTAACATTTGATTTAATAACCACAGCTGCTAGTTTGGGGGCAACTCTTTACATGGTACCTACCCAGGTTCATCAGCAACACTTTGCAATACTGTCATTACTTGAGTAATTGTATCTGTGGCTGGCTGATTTCATCTCTCCAATGCATTGTTTTTTATTTTGCAGTTTCACAGGTTAATATTTTTGAATTCTGCTTTCATATTCAGTATTTCAACTACTTGACATAGATTATCATTTGTTGCAAAAAATACATTTATTTATTGGTTGAGTTGAGGAGATTGGTATTTTTGTCTCCATTCAACTGAGGATTACTGCTTTGGGCAAATGAGCTCTATTAGCACATTTAAACTTTAAAATCATAGAATATATGGCTTTAAAACCATAGCATATTTTAAAACCATAGCATACCTTAAATAAGTGATTTCCAAACCTTGCTATACTTTATAACCACAGAGGAAACTTTTTTTAAAAGCATTGAGCATTGAAACCAGAGCCTGCTCACTGTGTTCATCCCCAGGTCTGATTGATTTAGAGACTGAATCTCACCAAGTCACTAAGTTGCCCAGGCTGGACTTGAACTTGTGATTCTCCTGCCTTAGCTTCCCTAAGTACTGAGATTATAGGTATGTACCACCATATCTGGCTTTAGGAAAAAAGTATTTAAAGATCAGTACTAAGCTCTACCCCAAAGATTCTGATTTGTCTGTGGTAAAGCCAGGGCATTTAAAAAATTTTCTCACGTCTTTTTTATATGCAGGCAAGGCTGTGAAGTCTTGATACGTTCCAAACATTCTGTTTTGGAGACAAGGAAGCCAAGGATGAGAGTGAGAAATATTTCACCTGCAGTGCCTTAAGTAGATCTGGCACTAGACTTCAGAGTTCTGTGCCACAAACAAAAAGTTTATAGTTTAGTTATGTTTAGAGTTCAATGCTTAGGAATTATGCATAAAATCAGAGTTTAAAAATATGAAACACTATGCTTCTCGCTTCAGTGCCAAGACTATTTCTTTCAGGACATTAAGAACTATTAGGCTTTGCAGCATAACTGTTTTAAGGTCTCCTATCAGTAGTTTGGCTGCCTCATAAGTCATAATACACACAGGTGCACTCTGGACTAGCCAAGGAGCTGGCTACCAGAACCTCCACAATCTCTGTCTTCCAGAGTTGCACAGCCCAGTGCAGTAGCCACTAGCAACATAGGGTTATTGAGCACTTGAAAAGGGGCTAGTCCCAAGTGAGATATGCTGCAAGTGTAAAAAATACACCAGGTTCAAATACACAGTATTTTAAAAAGGTACAAAATATCTCACTAATACATTTTACTTGATTATACAATGAAATATTTAAAAATCTTGTTAAAATTAATTCCATTACTTTTCAAAATGGTTAGAAGAAAATTTAAAATTTTTTATGTGGCTTGCATTTGTGACTTGTATTGTATTTTTATTAGACAGCACTATTCTAGAGAGTATTTTCTGTTGAAGCTATTAACAGTGAATTGTCCAAATCCAAGCCCTTGCACCTCCTGTGAAATGAAGAATGAAGTATTTGCAAGTTTCCTATAGATGAGTGCAATGTTTATGCACCTGTGTTCACCCTCTATGTAGCAGCCCATCATTCTGGCCAAATGCACTTCTCTCTATTTTTATCTATAGGCTTAGAGGAGGCAGGGTGGTGCTCCTGTGTCATAAGGGAACACACTGTGTGGCTCTTAAACAGTGTACCCAAAAGTACACCAGGTCCTCTTGGTGACACTGAGGTGTAGAGATAAATGTTATATCCCATGAGTGGTACAATTCTTGAAGAAACTGCTGCATCAGCGTTAGTTATCATGTGTCAGCATTCATGAATTACCACTGTCCTTGGCAGGCCTTGAGCGCTAGAAATATTACAGTGTTTTCTTCCCTTTATAATTCAGATTCCCATTTTACTCCTTCTCCTTTTCTTTCCTCTCTAGTTTTCTTCATATATATGCTAACACCCTACTCAAGTGCTTAGGCTGCCTAGTTTGCCTGCAAGTAGCAGGGAACACAAAGACAGGCCTTGGAGACATCAAGCACAACTCCAAACACTACCCAGAAATATCCTCTGTGTGAGATTAGAAGATCCACTTAATATCTCTCAACTCCTCTAAATTTCCACTTTTTTGTTTGTAATACGCAGCTTTTCTCTTACAATATCTGTGAAGGTCTAGTGAAATAGTAAGATATCTGTCATACCTACTTCCTGGCAGGATTTTTGGTGGCCATCTCCTCTACCACAAACTGAAAGCTAGTTGTTGAGGATAAAACAGAAAGTGACACACAGCTACTGCCCCAATTTGGTGGCAGCTGAAAGAACAGAAAGACAAGGAGCCTTGTAACCTCAGGATACAGTAGCCCTCAGTTAGTGGAAACTAGTTCATGGCACCATACAGGATTTGGCTTATCAAAAAATTATGGAATGTTCTTCAGGCTGGAAACTGAGGCCTACTTAAATAGTCATCGTATTAGGCAATGCTGGTTTGGCAGTGGGGCGTGAGATTGCGAATTCCTCTAGCAATGCTTTTCGCAGGAGATTACATTGCCTAACTCTTGGGTGTCCCAACATATTTAGAGAGCAAGAGGGGCGGGGGGGGAGAGCAAGAGAAAGAAAGAAAGAAAGAAAGAAAGAAAGAAAGAAAGAAAGAAAGAAAGGAAGGAAGAAAGAAAAAATGAGCAACTTTACTGTGTTGGACTTGGTTAAAGTAAGTGTTTCTCTCAGTTTTTTGCCCCATATTTTATCAGTAACTCTCCCTTTGAAAACCTGCATTTCTGTTATAATGCCAAAGAAGCCAAGCACATATGCATTTCTTTAAGATATAAAAAGTATTTGGGACACTAGGACTTGTTATATTAATTGTTTTCTGATTACTATCTCATCAAGATAATAAATGTTTTTGTTTGAGGATTTCATTCCTTAAGAAGTTGTAAACTTGTCCCCCATGGCCTATTAATCTCTTACATTAGGTGAAACAAAGAACACTTTTCTCTTAGAATCTGAAAGAAATGCCAACATCTTCAAACTTGTGTAAAGAACATTCACCATATTGTACATGATCAGACTTTTTAAAATCAGACTTTATTTTTATTTAGTCTATGAGGACATTTTGGATATACATAATAATCACATTCATCATAGGGAATTTCTATCTGTACATTATATATCCTGATTTTTTTTCCCCATTCCCCTACCCTCCCTTCAGCCCCTCTTGGCCTCCTTATTGACAAAAGTTTTGTTTGCATTTTTCCTTCTTTTCTCATTTTTCTTTTCTCTTCCTTCCTTTCCCCCTCCTCCCTCTCTACTTCCCCTTCCTATGGACATCAAAATAATCCGTTTATGGAAAAAAGTGAGAAAACACAAAGCCAGTAAAAGTTTCCTTTCTCGAATTCTGTTTTGGAAAAATAATGTGGTTGATATCATGGCATAAAGTAAGATATAAGAAGAAACATACTATTCACATAAACTGTGCAGCTAGTTTTCTCTTCTACATAAGAATCACAGCAGTGTTGTGAATCCATGAATGCACCAAGTGAATCAGACTGGGTGAGCCAATGACCATTGCAGGCATAATTGTTGTGATGAGATATTGCAAGGTGCTAAGGGTCTTACTAAACTTAAACAGAATGTTGCAACACTGAGAAAGTTCCTCTCTGAACTAGATAACCATGCCTACAAGGAGAAGCACCAAACATTTGAGTCCTTAAAAGCCCTTCTTTCAACTCATAAAGGAAGAGTTGGAGACCCAGATTCCTATAAATAAGCTACCTTCCCTGAGTTCTTCCAGGATGAATTATCACTTAAGCCAATCCTCTTATTGTTAGAATTTCATGTATTTAATGTTTTAGTGCTAAAAATTCATAATTCACAAAACAAATGATTTGAGCCAAATATAAAAGCATATTTTTTTCAGTAAAATGAGGTAGTGATTGATGGGGCAGTTGGCTCCTAGGGTACTTTTCACCCAATTAGGCATCCATAAAAAGATTGCTAAGCACAAAGTGGCAGCATTGCTGCCTTAACCTAAGGGATGCACACACTACATTATAACCTCCACTTCTCTGAATCCTCATGTGATGTAACTGCTTGACTTAGGAATGGAGTGTTGCATATTGCTGTGGCCCAGGAACATACTTATGAATTGCTTTACCATCTATGTAGACTTCTATTTCATGATATATAAGTGAAGGTTACACTTCTGATCTACCCCATAGAGACATTAAACATAGTTTAGTTTGTACTACTATCATAAATACTCTAATAATTATAGTAACTAACTGTTATTAGAAGCATACAGAGATGAATAAACTGAGGCTTGATAAAACCAAGATTTAAGCCTAGGTTTCTCTGAGTCCAGAATACATTCACTTAAGAACTAAGCTCACCTTTTCTTCAATGAAGACAAAGCAGTAGCTATGATAGAGGCTGATGTTAATGTCTATAGACTAGGAAAAGTTAATAATCTCAGTGATGATTAGTTAAGTGTAATATACTGATAGTAGATCATATGCCATCATATGAAGCCAGGTGCCCAGGGTTCATTCTGCACTGTCTCTTACATTTTTGTATTAGTATCAGTAGATTACTTAATCTTTGTACCTGATATCTCACATAGAACCTAGAAAGCATTATTCACTTTCTCAATCAGTGATGTGCTGAGTTCATTTCATGCTGGCTTTACTTTGATAGCTTAAAATCAGTCTTGGTGAAGATATTTATGTCACAGAAATTAGAAAATGCTCCAGATCATGGCCCTTATTTAATTACAAAAACATAGTTACTAAGAATTTACTAGGGCACCATTGTCTGTGACTCAAAGAGAGGCATCATGTGAATAGTCACACTTCTAGAGTTAAACAAATACACACTGGATATTCCCCCACAAAATCCTGCAAATACAATCATACCTTTAAATCACCAAGGTCTTTGGTGAATCTTCTGTCTCCATCATTTTGCATTTTGAAAGGGTCTGTTAAAACCTACCTATAATTATTTTACATGTCATTAGAAATAAAATTTATTTACTGGTTTCATTACAGAAATATGCTTACTGTATCATATTAGAATAAATCCTTAATGTTTTGAAATGCAAATATAAGCATATGCACTATAAAATGGATAGTCAATGCTCTCAAGGAAAAATCAACCTATACAGCCCTTCCCCCCACTACCACCACTGGAAGGGGTCTTGGACTGGGGAAGCCATGGTGAGCTGTCTAGCACCTGGGACCCCTGTCTCCACCTCCCACTACCATCTCAGGAAAGAAACTGAATCCCTGGAAAACTAAGGAGATTTGAAAATGAAAAGAAGAAGCAAAATGCAATCTCAGCTAAACACCACAAATAGAACAAGTCCAGGAAATATCAACATGGAAGAACATGGAAGTCACACAGCTGAAATCTCTGAAATGATAGCAACTGAAGTAAAGAACCAACTACATCAGGCTATAGAGGAAATCAGATCAGAAATAATTGCTCGGGTAAGAAAAGAAATGATAACCATAATGAAAGAATTGCTGGGCATATCAAAAGAAGATCTAGATAAAAAAATAGAGATGCACAGAAAAATGATGGAAACCTTGAATGAACAGTAAAGAATTAAAATGCACAAAGCAGATTCAAAAAGACATTCAAGAAATTAAAAATAGCATTGAAAGCTGGAAGAAGTGCTTGAGTGAAACAGAAGATAGACTCTTAGACCTTGAAGACAGCATTGCAACTAGTGATTGTGAAAGAAAAGGCCTCTTAAAAATAACAAAGGAATAGTAAATAACAATTCAGCAGCTGCAAGATGAGGCAAGGAAAAACAATATAAGACTGATAGGTGTCAACGAAAGACCAGGAAACAACATGAATGACATAAAAAGAATATTTGCAGCAGTAATAGCAGAAAACTTCTAGACATGGGACAAGAACCATATATATTTAAGAGAGGCATATAGAACCCCAGTTACCCATAATCAAAATAAATCTATACCCAGACTTTTAATAACCAAGATCCTCAAAACTGAAGAAAAGAACAGAATATTAAAAGCTGCTAGAGAAAATAAACACATCACCTATGAAGGAAAGCCCATCAAAATCATGACAGACTTCTCAACCAGAGCATCAAGTGAAGAAAAGTTTGGAGTGAAGTACTTCAGATCCTGAAAAAAACAACTTCCAACCCAGATTACTCTACCCTGCAAAGCTGTCTTTCAAAACTGATGGAGAAATAATACACTTCCATGACAAATATCAACTGAAGAAATTCATAAGTGCCAAACCAGTCCTACAAAGGGTACTGAAAAGTATTCTACAGAGAGATAAAAATAACCACAATCTTAAGTCCAACAATAGAAAAGAACTACCAAGCAAGGTAAGCAGTTAAACAGAGGGGGAACGTACACAACCAACAGTAGGAAAATAACATGACAAGGATAAGTCAATAAATAATCATTAATAACCATTAATATTATGGCCTTAATTCACCAATCAAAAGGAACAGACTAGCAGAGTGGATCAAGAAATAAAATCCAGCACTCTGCTATGTACAAGAAATGTATTTGAGTCTATGACTCAAAGTCAAAGGATATAAAATAATACTCCATGTGACAGGAACCCAGAAAAAGCAGGAGTAGTTATTCTGTTTGCAGACAAGGTGAACTTCAAATCAATAATGATCAAAAGAGATAAAGAAGGTCACTATATTCTTGTTAAGGGAAAAGTGCATGAGGAGCAGATAACAATCATAAATATATATGCACAAAATGTAGGGGCACCAAACTATATAAGGTAAACTTTAAAAGGCATGAAAAATCAACTAAGTAATAACACAATTGTAACAAGATATTTTAATACCCCATTGTAACAAAGATAGATCAACTAGAGAAAAAAATCAGCAAAGAAATAACAGAACTAAACCAAACATGTGAACAGATGGACTTAGTAGAACTTTACAGAATATTCCACCCAACAAAATTACAATATACATTCTTCTCAGCTGCACATGGGACATTCTCTAAAATGGACCACACACTAGCACATAGAATATGCCTAAGTAAATGCAAAGAAATTGAAATTATCCCATTCATATTACTGGACTATAGTGCAAAGAAACAAAATGATAAAAGAAATTTCAAAAGGTCCATAAACACTTGGAAACTAACAACCTCCTGAACAACCAGTGGGTCACAGAAGAAATCAAAGTAGAAATTAAACACTATTTACAATCAAACAAAAATGCAGATAAAAACTACCTGCACCTGTGGGGTGCAATGAAAGCAGTCCTCAGAGGGAAATTTATAATGGTGAATTCCCACATTAGGAAAACAGAATGAACACAAATAAACAACCTTATGTTACACCTCAGACTTCTAGAAAAAGAAGAGGAAGTTAATCCCAAAGCCTGAAGAAGGAAGAAAATTATAAAGATCAGAGCAGAAATAAATACAATTGAAACTAAGAAAACAATACAAAGAATTAATGAATCAAAGAGTTCGTTATTTGAGAAAATAAATAAAATTGATAAAACCCTAGCCAACCTTATCAAAACAGGAGAGGAAAAAACTCAAATCCATGCACTAAGGAATGGAAGGGGTGATATCACTACAGATCCTATAGAAATTCAGAAGATCATCAATACCTACTTTGAAAATCTTTACTCTCATCAGATAGAAAATGCAGAGGAAATGGACAGATTCCTAGGTACATATGAATTACCAAAGC